GTGCATGTACGTGTGTCCGCGTGTGAAAGCTCATTCATTATGCCCGCTTATTTGAGTACAATATATATTTTGTGTATTCATTGGAAATGAATAATTCTCATTTTTATAATTCATACCATAATTACTAGGTGTTGCAACAAAATACCTGTAGCAGGTGGAAATTACAGTGTGGCAGTAACGCTTACCGTGAGCCATAGAATACTTGTGGTCGTCTTAGAGGCTGTGTGGGGCAACTTTCTTCTCTTGCGGTCTGAAGACGTGTCATGTCTAGTAATTTTGACAAATCGTCGGAGATTGGAGAGTCGTAGTGCGTGTTCATGTAGGCTCTCTCTCCAGCATGGCAGCGTCGGCCACTTAATGCTGAAACAAAGATTTTTATTCCTTGTGGCATTACATGAATCTCTAGTTAATACACGTATATTTTTTTTTGTAAATTACGTAGAAAAATAATTAAAAATTAGGATAATAATTGAAACAGTATTACGAGTCTCCAGTGAACTTTAGTGAAAATAATAATAGTAATAATAATAATAATAATAATAATAATAATAATAAAAGCCATGAGTGTATCAGTGAGAAAATAGACTGGGAGATGGAAATTTTGTTATCTTTATGTCTTCATTGTATAACTTGTTATACCAGTTAAGCATCATCACACTTCTTCCAGATTTTAGTAAACTTCATCTCGAGGTGATATAGACATGTGAATAAGTTCCAAATTTTACATATTTTGTTTATACTGTTAAAAATGTCACCCTCACCATTCTTACCCAGCCTTAGTATTTTCTTTTGTTGATAATGAATATTGGTTTAAGTTTATTTTCTTTTATTCGTCTATATAGTTTCATATTCAAAACAGTGGCAACCATTTTGTATTATTTGTTTTTGATCTGAATACCACAAATGGATTAAAATTCTCGCCAGAACCTTAATGCTTAACGAATTCTGTAAAAATTTATTTCATCTTGATCGCAATATTTTATTCTCTATTAATTCCGAATCGGGTAAATATTAAGAAATATAAATACAGTGTACGTATAGGTGTGTGTGTGTGTCTATAAACGTGTGTGTGTGAGGGGGGGGGGGGCTGTGCGTGTGTGTGTCTGCGTGGATATAATCTTATACAATATCCATCACTTTCTCAAAGATAATAAATATTTTTTTCCTCTCTGGTACTCGGGCGTCTCAAAGTCTGTGGTGTTGCTGTCAGTAATGTCGGCAAGCAAGAACGCGAGTGGTAGCGGTAAAACAAGGCCCATAAAGACTACTTGTTAAACGAGTTATGGCGTGTGAGAAGATTGTCTAGCAACAGTGTGAGTTAGTTGCTGGGGTAGAGGAGACGCCGTGATGGAGCGAATGAGTGAGGGGTGGAGGGTGGGTGGTAGGTGGGTGACTTAGCTTAACGCCTTGCCTATACTGCTTCGTTGCTTGTCTGCTTTACTCAACCTCATGCAGATACAACAAGTTAAAACAAAAATATTTCTTCTATTTTTTTTAGGTATTGTTTTTGTTCATTATTGTATCGTCGTTGATTAATTTTTATTTATTTTTGTATAAATTTAAGTCTAAAAAATATATAGGTGTTCAGTTATAAACATCCCATCATTATATAACGACATAAATTTACACACACACACACACACACACACACACACACACGGATTCCAATTGAAGTTCCCATGTAAGTAAACAGCGTAGGGGTGAAAGATGAAGGGGTGGAGGGGGGGGGTAGTGATAGGGGAGAGAAAAAGGGGAAGGGAGGGGAGGGAAGGGGGTGTAAGGGACTGTCTGAGCTGTTCCCGGACCTTTAGATATGGCTGTCTGGGGCCTCATATCCACGCTACTGCCAACCGAACCGAGTTATTGTACCGTGAATTGGTTGTTGGGGGTTGTTATTGTCCTGTGAAGGGGTTGTTAGCGGCGGTTATTATCATGCATGTTAAGTGAGAAGCTGAGGCGCTTTTGTGTGTGTGTGTGTTTGACTGTTTGTTGTTGTTTCTACAGAGGGGAGAGCTTACGATAAGGCTCCGGCCTCCCCCCTTCCTCACCCCACCCCTCCTCACCCTCCTCCTCCTCACCCCACCCTGGAACTGGATGGTAAGATGGGTTAAAACTTTATCCTATGAAAATATTTGTATCTGTGTTTGTTTATAATATTATTTCGTTTCTCAATTTACTCTTTAATCATATCTGGTGAAGAATATAAGATAGGGTAGCCAACCTCACGAAAGCCTGGATAATGCCGGGGTTAAAACGTCAAAGCTTAGGATCCATTTATTGGTATTTACTTCAATATGTACAATCTAATCATATGCGCTCAATTCAATATGTAAAATCGAATAGTGTGAATTTAATTTAATGTGTAAAACCAATATGTATTTAATTCAATATGTATAGAATCTACTTACATGTACATTTTTTAGTTCAATATATAGGATCTAATTACATGTATTTACCTGGAATGGTTGCCGGAGAATGAAGCTTATCTAATATCTTACCTTAATGTACCTTGATTATTAACCATTATCTGTGTCTTACCTGTCTGTCTGTCTGTCTGTCTGGCTATTGTTGTTGGATCATTCCTCTCAAGTGAACCACGATTCTGCTAGTATAATTGCCTTCAACACCTCATTATAGAAGGGAAAAAAGCCATTATAGTAATTCTTAATAAACTGTCAGTAATGCGTTCTAACTCAAGACATGTCATCCAGGGTTAATTTTTATACTTTCCTTTCTGTTATATTTTTTTTTAGATTATTTACCAACATTTCTACTCGAGGATAATGGTGTTCGTAAATTAGTACAGTGGCTGTGAGAACGCTATTTAAAATCACCTTCCACCCTAAACACACCATAATCACCATTAACACCACTCATAATTACCACAATTCAACCAACCACAACTAGTAAGGCCAGAACTAATCATCACTACCATTCACAACCATTTTTTTTTTTTACTTCACCTGTCAAAATAAATACCGAAGACTCACACCGCATAACGAGAGTAATCGAAGACTATACGGCTACACACGGCAAAACTACTCTACCCACTAACTAAACAACACTCTAAAACACTTCCTTTCGATACGTAATTTTACAATGAGGTCCTTGTTAAGTCTTAAATGAACTACGTGTTTATTACTATATACATTGGCTATCTGAGTCTTCTTTTAGTTTCTCCTGGACGGGCCACAACTTAATGTTACATCAGCTACAGCACGTTGGAAGGTTTTAATGATCTAATAAATTGTGGCGTGATCATGTGTTACAGGTTGTCGTGTCTGAGAGGGTAGGGGGTGTGGCAAGGGTAAGTGACAGATCGATTTTATGAATGACGAACATGAGTGTCGAGTGTAAGTAAGTCCCTTGTACCATCTTGCTGTAGTGCCGAGTGGGAGGTGGGGAGGAGGTTGCAGTGCCAGAGGGGTGTGGAGGATGATGTAACTTCCTGTAGAATACATCAGGTTTATTTTATTGGTATTTTCTTGGCTGTAAGATAGACGTTGATGATAGTGATGAGCGACATATCACTACAGGTAAGGTGCAACACAGGTAAATAATGTGGTAATTACTATAAGGAGACTGATTACTTTTTTGCTGATGGTTATTTCATATTATTTACAATTTACAATAAAGATACATAAATTACAAAATAATAACAGTGCATAAACGCAATTGTGAATCATTGTGCATTACTCTATCATGTTATAGAAGTCGAAATTAAAATCTACTTTAGTTATATTCTTGTAATTCCATATCAAACACCCTACAGAGTTGTCAGATCCTATTAAACTATAATTACATTTTCCGTCCTAAGAATATGTCTCTGAATGCGTAGAAAATTAAACCCTGATAAAAAAAAATGCTTCAAGACACAGGTAGTTGAAGCAGCTAATGACCGACAAACAGTAATTATTATTGTGTATTGATAACAGAACGACTACAAACCGCAGACTCGTGGCAGATGTGTGTGTGTGTGTGTGTGCTGAATAAATTTATACAGCAGGTGGCTCTTTTCTCATTATTTATAAGTTATTGTATTTTCGATGTATCTGTCTGGCTGTTGAGAGGGAGAAGGGGGGAGGGAGAGGAGGAGGAGGGGGTAAGTAGATGTTTTTCAAGGGTAGGAGGAGGTTTGAGCGTGGGAGGAGCTGACCAGTGACAGTGTGACGGCGGGGAGGTGTTGCATGTTTGAGAGGCGTGGCTTGTGGCAGGCCGACCCGCAGAGTAATGCCTCCAACCTATTACATTTTGTCCATCCAAGACGTGTGCTACCATCCTCCAATTGATTACTGATGAATTGTTCCTAGATTGAATAACTTCCTCACCCAAATTGTATAGGATCCACCGGTAGTTTTTTCATCATTCCTGAAGAAGTGATGGTGTTGTTATTTATCTATTCATTGAGTTGTTATTGATGAATTACTGTGTTATTATTAAAGAGCTTTGTTGCCTTTAGGAGTGTCCAGACTCTGTTTATATATTATACTTAAGATAAATTGCTTCTGAAAACCTTAGCGTGTAGTGAATTCTTCTTACAAGTTTTTTTTTTATCAAACTCGTGTGAAGGAATTTTTTTTTATAACCTTCACATTTTCCTATTTCACTGTAGTTCCTCAAAGTTGACATGAGAATAATAGATTTACTAACCCAGATGAGTATAAATAACCTTGAAGCATAAGACTATTAAGATCAGCATTATTTTCCTTCAGTATTGGATGGTCTTATGTGAGTCAAGGTTCTTTATACCCAACAAGTCAGGTCTTTATGTGCAAACTTCCCCAGTTTAGCTCTTGTACTTTCACTGTTCTCCATGACATGTTTTTTGCGTGTCTCTCTTCTTAGTCTCTTTGTCCGTGCCTTTTCACCTCTCGTTATCCATCTCTCTCCTTGATCAACATAGTAGTATATGTCTTCCATCTAGTAGCCACTGCACGGGTTCCCTTCCTTACTAACCCTGATGGTATGTTTATCGTGTACTGTTTTGTGCTCACCTCCAGCTCCAGGCCCGGTCGCCCGCCCAAGAGAGCCTCCGACTTCATGACGATGTCGCCGAGCCAGGACGCGCTTTTCGACCTCAAGAAGCGACACATGGATAACCCAGGCTTCCCAAACGGCCATATGCCAGGTAAGACCCCCTGCTAGTGTTTGTGTTTTGTTATTGTTTTTTTGTTGTGTTTTGATTTGTTTTGCTGTGATGGGGTGTTTTGAGGTTTAATTTAGTTGATATTACGGAGAAGATTGACAGTGAAGTATATTTTCGGCTTTTGAAATAGAGAGAAAACTTTTTGACACAATTATAGATAGAAGGTATAATGAAAACAAATTTGAAATTGATACAAACACATTCTTGTTTTAATTGTTAAGACTAAAGAGACGTTTGATAAAAAAATATATATTTTTCAAGTAATAAACAGTAGAGAGAGACGTCATTACAAAGAGGAAGATGAGATAATAAAATAAATAATGAATAGATAATGTAAACATGAAATGAGTGAACGAGATGAAATAGGTCGCCATTTTGCCATAATGTAGGAATAATAATAATAATAATAACAATAATAAAGATAATAATAATAATAATAACAACAATAATAATAATAATGATGATGATAATAATAATAATAATAATAATAATAATAATAATAATAATAATAATAATAGCAATAATAATAATAATAATAATAATAACAATAATAATAATAATAATAATATTAATAACAGTAAAGTATTAAATAATGATTGGTTTAAGTTAATGATAAATAGTGTTCAGGTATTTTTTTTTAGAGGTTTATGATAATGAATCCGTGTACAGGTGTATTAAAAACGAAAGGTGTTAAAATGGAATATTTTACGATACTTATGAATAGTCTGAGGCTCTGAGCATAATAGAATCATATAAGACTTTAGTTTATATCACGTCTTTTGCCCTTGTTTATATCATGTCTATCTTATGGTCTCAAAAAACAACTACAGAAGCGATTTGTATTACTGTATGCCTGTTTGTATGTGTGTATTAAACTTTTTTCATCTTTTTTTTTCATTATAATGTATAAGATGTGTGAATTACTCGCATGTAGATTATCATTATTATTATCATTATTATTATTATTATTAGTAGTAGTAGTAGTTTTTGTTATGGTTATTATTATTTATTATTATTATTATTATTATTATTATTATTATTATTATTATTATTATTATTATTATTATTATTATTATTATTATTATCGTGGCGGAATGAATATGAATAAGGATAAGCGAAAAGAAACAAGAAGCACAGCAAATGATGATAAATTACGTGAAAATAACATCACACAGTAAACAAAGAATAATGAACAGAGAAAGAAAATACGAAAGAGTAAACACAAAGTAGGAAGGGAGATGAGAACTAGAGAGCAAAGCTGATAAATCAAGTATTAGATGTAAATAGAGAAATTATTTGGGAGAATTAAATACTGAGGAATTTTTTTCAGTATGGGAAGAGAGAATTAAGGGTTGATATTCTAAAGCTTTCGTTAAATGGGTAAGAGACGAAATATTCCAATAAATTAATTAAAAAACATAAATGAAATTAGAATATATATGTCTTTATTGACATTAAAACGGTGATTTATTTTATGTGATGGGAATGAGTTATTAATATATTGTCGTGACTGTAATTATTTTTTATTATTATTGGATTTATATCGTATTTTTTATTGATCAATTTTATTATTTATTGATAAAGGAAATAAAATCACATGAAATATTACCGAGTATTTTGATTATTTTATTTAAGTTATCTATCGAGTGTCTGTTTCTCGTCTGTCTTTCTGTGTGTGTATCTATGTCTCTCTCTCTCTGTCTCTGCCTGTGTATGTATGTATGTATGTATGTAAGGAAAAGAAGAAGAAGAAGGAGGAGGAGGCATCACAGCCAACCAGCCCTCCTCCTCCTCCTCCTCATCGTCGTAGTACCGGGGTGGAGGAATACAATTTTGAGGACCCACTAGACCCCGTTACCTCACTACCCCTTATTGAGCGCTCGTTAGTTCATTATTGACCCATTATTTAACTTTATGAGCTGTGAGAGGTTTTGGATTAATCACTATTGATCTTAAGCTAACGTATGCCCCGACCTTATACACACGCTCCTTACCTCCTCTCTCTCCCTCTCTCTCTCTATATTTAGCACAGACTCTCTTCTTTTATTGTTATTATTGATTTCACTGGGGTTTTTTTTTTTTCATAGGTGTGGTGTAAAATTCTCACTCCTATGTTCCGTTTTCTGTTATCCTCTTCTCCCCTAATTTCATGATGTATCGACGTTTTCTGTGGGTGATTAATTTATTTTCCCCCTCGTGGTGGTATCTCTTATAGGAACTCATTTCTTTGTTATTTTTTTTATTATTTTTGAATCGAGTTGTACATATAGTAAATAATAAACACATATTAACACTAACTTAAATAGAATCATAATAATCAATAATCAGTAAATTAAAAAAAAATAGGTAAGAAAATATTAATAAAAGTCTTTGTAATATATGTAAAAGTAACTAAACTAATGAGTCCAATATCACATCATTATTTTTTTTACATGTATTTGCATTTCGAATCGAGTTTAGCAGCGTTGAAGAAGTCTAACCAATTAGTCCACTTCCAGTACGTAATTTAGCTTTGAATTCTAACCCGGATCTAGTTTTCTATACATCTCACTAAGTCCAGGTTATAGTCGAGGGAGAGATTCATCTAAATATTACTTTAACTATTCTCTTCACTTGACACTGCCGACGTACCTTAAGTAAATATTTCCTGTACTGCCGAGGTGACCGACATAGGACTCAGGAAATACCAAAACATTAAAGTCTGGCTGAGAAATATTACCAGGGATATGTTAATGTTACTGGTGGTGATTTATGGCCAATGGGAAGTGAACAAGTTGGTCGAGATGGTGGTTGCTGGTGGTGGAGGAGAGCTTGTGGTGGTGGTGGTGTTGGTGGTGATGGTGATGGTGATGGAGGAGAGGAGATTGTGTTCCTTAGTGTTAGTGATGGTGGTGATGTTGGTGGTACTAGTGGGGGGGTGGTGTTGCTTAGTGATGGTGGTGGTGGTGGTGATGATGTTAGTGGTGCTAGTTGTATTGTAAAGAAACACAAGAATTACACACACACACACACACAGACACACACACACACACACACACACACACACACACACAGAAGGGGAGCACCATCGTCAGGCTGTTGTAATCTACACCACCATTATTGTTTACGGCAGCCAAATCATTGAGGTCAATTTGAATTTTATATCCCATGGTCCAGCGCCATTTTTATTAGTTCCATATATTATTTAGGCTTTATATACGACAGGTTATATTAGATATTAAGTGATATAGAGTTATTTAAGAACAATGAGATAGAGTTATATATATTTATGAACTGTTGTTATTGTTCCTACGATTGTCTTTTGTTATTGTTTTTAGCGAGTTTGTTTATACGATCGTCATTTGTTTATTAGAAAGACTTGATATATAACTGGATTAGATATATATGAAGTGTTTATTACCATAGGGTTTAGGTTTAATGTTCTGTATATATCGTTACCTATTTGTGAACGTCTATAGGTAAATATATGATACTTTATTGGTGCCATTTACTCTATAGGTTCTTAGGAAATAAAAAATATAAAGGAAAAAATAAAAATAGTTTGGTTTATGATAATGTCTGATCCATTTATGTAGGAAAGACAATAAGGTAATATAAGTTATCTATTTATCTATCTTTGTCTGCTTATTTATTTATCTTTCTATCTATCCATTTATCTATCTTTTTGTCTATCCATTTATCTACGTCCATATCTACAAAAAAAAAACAATCCAACGACTACAGCCAAATTCGCCATACTAAAATTCTTGACCAATCAGCAGTCTCTTTACTCACGCTTGATCAAAGAAAAACAATTTAGAATTTATGTCCCCAAGCAGAGGCCCACCCCAGCTCTCCTGTGGGACCCTCAACCAGACTTTATTGCTCAATAAGCTTCACAAAAAAGAACAATGTGAGTCCTGTCCGTGAATCTCAATTGGCTCCCAACTGCCTCAAAATGTAATTCAACTCATGTGGTTACGATCATCACTAAAACACTCCCTTAAGAAACGTATTTTTTTTTTGGTAAAAGAGTTCGTAAGTCGTTTGTTTCTTTTTGGGTCGTAACTTGGGATGGTGAACTTATCTACGTACGAGTAGGGTCTTAGTGGGTATTTTTTTTTATATATGTATAATTTTGGTAGTTTGGCTTTTGTGTTTTAGCTTTTGTGGAAGTATTTAGGAGAGGAAAAAAGTTTGACGAGTGTAAATATTGACAGTGTGGGTGTTGTTAGTTTGGTTGTTCGGGTTTGTTCGCTGGGTGTTGTGTTAGTTAGTGTTGTTCACGTGTCACTCTTGTTTGTATAAAATGGCTGCTGTTCTTAAGGATACCTGCATATGTGGGTTTTCTCTGTATATAATGTGAACCTGATGATATTAATTCTTTTCCGGGTTGGTCAGATAACACTTGTGGTAGCCTAACCTAACCTAACCTAACCATATTAAGCAGATGGTACACTGTATTAATACCATGGTGTTTAATAGCTATAAAATACATTATATATTATCTGGGTGATGGTAGCTTTCCTATATATTAAGTCGCTATTGTTTGACACTTGATCATTATAAGTTTCGTTGGTGCTATTTATTCATTGCTATTATGTTATTATATGGCTCTTCATTATATTGTTTATTATGTTATATATCTTTTATAACTTCCAATAGTAATAGCCAAGTGATGTTAGACTTTTCTGTTCATTTCCGTAGTAATATTTAATGTTAGTTTTAGGTTATGTGGTGTTCAGTTTTAGTCAATAATATAGTGAGTTTATATTCTTTGAGATCACATAAATATTGATCTCACTCATAAGAATCACTTTTACGCTTCTTAGGGAATCTTCACGTCACTGATGTGGTCATTATAAAACACCAAACCACTTTTAGAAGGTTATATCTGAGGGTAGTAATTTTATATACGAATTTATTTATCTACACTATCATTTCTCAACGTGAATTGGTCGTTTATTTAAGTTTGTTGTATTTCCGGTAAATTATCACAAATT